TGTGTGTGTTGTGTTGGGGGGGTGCGCTCTGCCATGAGGAAGTTCGGCTTAAAAACATGTCCCAGAGGCGTTTCTGGTCCCCCACCTGTTCTAAAGTCAATAATGAATATAATGTTAAATTAAAATATTGTTGAAAAATTTGCAATTAACTGACTAGACTAGTTGTTTCAGCCATGATCATCTTCATTCTAGGCTACATCTGCTACAGTCTGTCCTGCTGGATGTGATGTGATTTGTGTCATACAGGTCTGAAGGAGTGAGTTCAGTCCAACAGGGTGTCAGAATGGTTTATATTTACACTTCTCATCCAACCACAATCAAATTCACTCTATCCATGGGCTCCATGAATCTAGATAGATTTATATTTATTAATGTTTTCTGAACAATGGAAAGATGGAATAAAAACAAGTCAAAGTTAAATAGAAATGAAATACTTTCTGCATTTTTAAAAAGTAAGGAGTAGAAAGTACAGATAATTGAATTAAAATGTAAGAAGTAGAAGTAAAAATTAGGTTGAAAAATAATTACTCCACTAAAGTATAAATAACCCCAATTTCTACAAAAGTAAAGTAACAAAGTATTTTCACTTAGTTACTTGAGACCTCTGGTCAGTTGTACACATACAGTAGTACTTTTAAGAGGATGTGTTAAAACGCTCGCTGTGTCTAAATACAGGGGCTGTGTCTGACGAAGCCTGAATTTTTCGGCCGCTTACATCTCTGCGAATGCGTCCTCATTTTGCAGTTTTTCCTTCTCGGACCACCATATCCCATAATGCATTGCGGGTAGAACAGAGACTTTTTCCTGCTCATAATGGCAGACGAAGCGAGAGAAAGGAGTACAGTTTAAAATAAAAGTCTGGCAGTAAAAATCAATGTTTAAAGCGGTTGTGTTGTTAATGGTTTTTTCTTTCTTTTGTACAGACATGTTTTTAAATGTTATTCTTGTCAGAAATCAAACAAGCTGATGTAGCAAAATAAACATGCACCTACGGTGGTCCATCAAAGGACCCAGCCCCTGAATTTGGACACAGCCACTGTTTCTATACAGGAAATACCAGGTAGAGCTCAGTTATTGTTTGTTAGTGGTGCTCAGCCATAGCAAAGAGATGAGGAATGTAATGTGTTTAGTCAAAGTTAAACACGAAACGTTAAAGTTATTTATAACTGACCCTTTGAGGGCCAACATATGTGGCACTTGCTGAAAATGAGTTTAACACCCATGTTTTAAGCTATAAATCTACTTTTTGAGCTTTTTGTGATACACATTATATTTTTATGTAGATCCTAACTACTTAGGTAGAAGGACAAACTAACTGCTGGATCATTTAGTAAAGTAAGTAGCGAGTACAATTTAAACTCTACTGAAATGAGTATGTACGTTTTATTCATATGCCTTAGTAATTGCATTTTTGTATTTAGGTTTTATGGACCACAGTTAGACTAGCAACAACTGCTGTGAAAGCTAAGGGAGATCCAAATATAACAAATTAAAACCTGAAATAATCAAATAATTTGAATATCTCATGGCTCGCTCGGTTCATCTGTGGGTAAGAGCAGATAAGAAGAATACATTTCAAAACAAACTGAAAGACTAAACAACGACGAAATCAGTGATTATTTATTACCAGCAAATGCATAAAAATGTTTAAATCCAAATCATGTTAGAAGTAAAGTTACAGCATTACATTTTTACTAATAAAGCCTTAAAATTGCACTCCTGGCTCATAAAAGGTCTTTCATTGCATTGACACCAACATTTCACCTCATCCACTGTTTTCTCTGCCAGAATTCACAAAATTCAGCAGCTAAACAAAATAAATGCAGTGGCGTCCATCAAATATAACAGCAGTTTGTTTGTACAGATAAACCTCTGACTCCTACCCACAATGCTGTGCGTGCAGAAAACTAATAGTCTATTTCTTGTGGGGTCATTTTAAATATAAACAAAGTTAGGATGAGGCCGTGTTTCTCACTGTGAAGCATGGGCTCTTCAGTCTGAAAACATTTAGAGCTGAGACCAGCTGAAGGAACGTTGTCACATTCTTTTCTGATTGTAGCTGGTCCACAGTTGTGGGTCTTCTTTGCTAGATGTTGTTGTATCATGACGCACTGAATGTTTGAAAATGGTGAGATGTCTGGACCGCAGGCAGGTCGATGCAGTGGATTAACAATGACTTGTTCAAATAAGCAAGAAGCCCCCCCACCAAAAAAAAAAAAAACACACTTCTGAATGGGAGGGTGTGCCCTGTGTACACTTTTCTGGACGGAGGGTGCCTTTCATGTCTGTTAGCTATAATGCACCCCTATACCATCAAAGAAGCAGGTTGTTTGACCTGTGGGCTGATAAAAGAGCAGATGTTTCCTCTCCTCTTCATCACAGAGGATGCTGTGTTTGGGATTTCCAAAAAGAGTTCAGAACGTTTCATCGTCTAACCACGGAACAGTTTTCTGTCCAGATTTCAGATCTCTGGTTCACGTGACGTTGTTTCTGAATGGTGTTCACATGGCCTTGTCTTTGCGTGATAGAGCTTTAGCCTGTATTTTTGGATGGTTACTGCAAACTGTGTTTACAGGCACATGTTTATAGAAGTGTTTGTGAGCCCAGAACAGATCTGTTTTTATTTTAGTGACACAGGTGAACCTCTGCCATCTTTATTCTGAGACAAACGTTTTTTACAGCTTTTTGTTGCTCCTGATCTAATTTTTTCTTTAAACTACCTTATTTTTTTTCCACAAACAACAGTTTAAATTTGATTTTTTTTTATCATTGTGAATTATGTGTTTATGAGTTTCACAAATCATCACCAGCTGTTTTTTATTGACAACATCCCAACTTGTTGAGTTTAATACTCAGACATTTAGCCCCAGCAGTGAGGCGGGACTTACCTTCGTGGTTATGTTTGTGTTCAGTGGAGTATGCCTTCCCAATCATGGTCCACACTGGTTTCAGGCACCCAAACAGTCCCTCCAAAAACCCCCCGCTCCCTGATTGGAGCCTAATGTTCTCCGACGGTCTCCGGACAGCGCCGGCCTCTGGGCTGTGCCCCGCCACGGCCCCGCCGCCGCTGCCGCCGCACTGGCAGGCCTCATGTTCGTGGAGTTTCAGCACGCTGTTGTCAAAGTGGGCCGAGGGTCCATCACTGGGACTGGGGCTGCTGCCGCCCGGACCCCCCTGTCCGCTGGGGTCGATGGACAGCACGTTACGGAGGACACACTGCGTGGGGGTCAGGTCCGTCTCTGGGGTGCAAGCAGGGGTGTCTCCATCGAGTCGTCGATAGGGCGCTTCTGAGATGGGGGTGCTGAAGCCTGACAGGGAAGGGGAAGGGGCGTGGGGCTCATGGATACAGGTCCCACTCATCAGGGGCTTCCCCAACACAGCAGGTTAGGGAGGATGGAGGGGTGAGGAGAGAACCTGAGGAGCACCAGAAAAAAAAAGGTTAAAAATATTTAAGTGTGGTGAAATAGTTCGGATGCAGCGCTCACTCCTTCACGGTTCACCTCTAAACTAACTCCTGACCTGTTCAAGTATCTATAAAACTTTTAACTAAATAATAATAAAGACGTGTCCTTGAATAACAAACAAAAAATAAATGAAAGAAAACAAACCTCTTCAGTTTGTGCTGAAATGTAGCTGAGTGTTTAAACTGTCCTTAAATCAACCTGGAATCAAAATAAAACACTTAGATTTGATCAGAAAGCTGCTGCTGAGCTTTCAGGGATATTAAAGATGGAACAGAAACAAAATATGAGTATTTCCACCTGGCCTGAAGTGTGTTTGCATTGTACATTATTTAACCCTTTTAAACTATAATGAAACTTTTAAACCTTAAATCCACATGTGGACATTACCTGTGCAAAGCTGCTAAAATAAACTAGACAGGAAAACAATACCACCGATAAATGTTAGGAAATCTTTGGTTTTTATTTGCAAAAATGATTACTTTCTTCTTACTTGCATAAAAAGATTTGTTTTGAATGTTTAGTTGTTGTTGTTTTTTTAATTACCCACACATTTGTTTCTCATCCTGTTCACATAAAACAATGAGAAATGTTAATGTGGAGCAGATTTACACAAAAGCATGTTTTAAAAAAAACAACAACTTTAAAACATTTTGGTTTTTGGTTCGACTTGTTTGAAAAAAAAAGGTCAAAGATATTCAAAACGTATTTACAGATTTGCCATTTTGTCTAAATTGTTTCCTTTCTGATTCAGCTGCTTGCACTTTTAACCGTTTGGATGTAGAAAAACTTTTTTATGAGCTTTTAGCCAAAATTCTCCAAACATGTCTGTGTTTAAATAGCAGATCTGAGAAGTGACCCCTGTACCTGCAGTGTGGAGCT